AGGAGACAGTTACAATGACCTAATGGCACTGAACACCAGCCAGAGTCACCTGACTTGTGTAAGGATCAGAGTTTGCCAGGGTGGTGGCCAAAGCTTTGTAGTTGGTCCCTCCTAACCAGGACGGGAGCAGGACACAGAGGGCCCCGGCCCAAAGCCTGGAATGGGAAGGGTAGGGCCTGTGGGAGGGATGGAGAATTAGATGGGCAGATTTATGCATATGTGATTGTGGAGTTCTGGCCTTCCACTACAACTAGGTTTGTGTCAGTGGGGAGCCCAGACAGGCTTAGCAGGGTCAGAGCAATGTGGCCAGATTTGTGTTTTTAAAGAATCTGGGGACCTTGAGAGAACAGGTTAGAATCAGGGAGACCAGGTGGGCAGGGTGGATATCTCACTGCAGGGAAGTAGGGTCTTTGCCAGGGAGCTGGAGTCAGGATGGTGCTGAGTGTCCAGGGCAAGGCTCTGTCTTCCCCCTTTGCTGGCTCTAAGGCAGGCCCTCTGCAGGCATTTGTTGAGTTGGTGGCCATGTTGAGAGGACCTGGGGACAGCCATCTCAGACATGCCAGGGGCTCTGGAAGCATGCTGAGTCCAGGATCAAGTCTGGACTTGCCTGCTACTCTTTGCCATCCACACCTCAGAGGACAAGGACAAGGATGGCAGGTGGCCTGGGAAGCTGATGACATCTATGCATCTGCACCAGCCCTGGCTGAGAAGGCCTCCAGTAGGTTTTGCTTTTGCTGTCACCACATCAAGGTTCTACATTTTGGAACAACCCTGGTCTTTTCATTCTGCACAAGGTCTCAAGTTCTGGGTGTGTGTGTGTGTGGCTTTTTTTTTTTTTTTTTTTTTTTTTTTTTGTGAGAGGGTCTCATTAATTCAAGCTAGCCTCAAGCTTTCTGACCTTGAACCCCTGGTCCCCTTTGTCTCCTCCTCCCTGAAGGCTTGGACTTCAGGCCTTAGTGTGTCATCCTACACAAGTCAAGAAGGCTGCTTGTGCAAGAAGGCTGAGGTCTGAGAACAGAGAAATAAAGGTAGCCTCGGAGTCATTCCAGAGCCAAGCATAACCTACAGAGGTGGCCTTGCAGTGACCATGTTGTTACTTGTGAGAGTGTGCATAGTATGAAAGGCTGAGGTGGTGGCATACGCCTTTAATCCCAGCACTCGGGAGGCAGAGGCAGGTGGATCTCATCTCTGAGTTCGATGAGGCCAGCTTGGTCTATAGAGCAAGTTCCATACGCTGTGGCTACACAGAGAAACCCTGTCTTGAAAACAACAACAAAAAAGTGTGTATAATATGAAAATATAATCGAGGCCTAGGAAGCCTTCAGGTCTGAGCCAAGAGCCACACCTACAATTGCTGAGGCCCCCTTTTTAAGGGTCTCTCCAAGTTTCTGACCACAGCTGTGGCAGGTGGCAAGTATTAGTACATTGTCTCAGCAAGAAAGCCTGGGAAGGGGCATGTGTGCAATTAGCCATGGGCTGCTGATGAGACAGATGCACAGAGTGTATTAATAGCAGAAGCTAATGTCTGGGTCTCAGTGTCCATCCCAGGTTGTTGTGGGTTCCTCACACTATGCCCCTGGCTCTTCAGGCTCCCCTGATGGTTCACAGTGAGACAATGCAGTTGGCTCTGTCTTGCATCTGAGTAATGTCTCTCACGAGACTCTGCTGGCTGCCAGCTCATGAAGACTGTCACCTGTCTGTGACTGGGCCAGCACTTAGACTTTCAGGGGTAGGGTCACAGAGCAAGGCCACACTAGTGTGAATCGTGTGTGTCTCCCCCACATCCCCTTCCCTCCGCTGTAACTTGGAAGTTCAAAGGGGTAGTGTTTTTTTGCAAGTTTGTTCTCTACCTTTTACATTTACTTACTTTTTGGAGGGATAGGAGCATATGAGCATTTGTGCCACTAGGAGCTTGTAGCTGTCAGAGGATAACTTACAGAAATAGCGTCTCTTTTTTCTTTTTTTATGTGGGTCTCATGGATGCAGCTTGACTTTTAGGCTGGGTGGCAGGGGGCTTTCACTAATGAGCCATGTGGATGGCCCTCGTTTTTGAACGCCTTTCCACTGGGCATGATAGCTCATGGAGGATCTCCTTCAAGTGTAAGCCCATCCTGGAGAGTAATCTTGTAAACCCCTCCCCACCAAAACCCGCACATCAAAAGGAACACCACCATTTTTTCCAGGCTAGGGGTGTGTGGTTTAGTGGTTAGAGCACTGTGTAGGTTTTCTGGGGCCCCGGCTTCCCTTTTCAATGTAGCAAAGCAAACAGCCAGGGTACTAAAAAGACTTCCAGGGAGACAAATCAGGGACTGGAACCCAGGGGAGTTAGACAGAGGCAGCTCTTGAGAGCTTCAGAGAAGGCCAAGGACCCTCTCTGGTCTGCATCTTTTCAGGAAATCAGCAGCCCCATTCTGGAGCGCTGACCCACTGCTGCAGACCTGGGCTGGAGGGATTTCAGGGTGGGGGAGACAGGTTTGTTGTGTCTAGATGTGCTCAGGGCCTGGCCTGTCACTGAACTTAGCAATGGGAAGAAGAGAAACTTTTTAGCAGCCCGGGGCCAGGGAGGCAACTCAGCTTGTAAAATGCTTGCACACAGTTGTGGGATCAGAGTTTAGGTCCCTTGAGAGTGGGTAAAAGCTGGCTGGGTTTGGTGACCTGTTTGTAATTCCAGCTGGAGAGAGACAGGGAATTCCCAGAGCAAGCAGGCCAGCCAGACTAACATGGAGAGAGACCCTGTCTCATGTAAGCTGGAGGGAGATTGAAGAAGACACCAATGCCAACTCTGGGTTCTCACAGGTGCACCTGCACACATGTGCGCTCACACCCAAACACACATGCACCACACAAAAGTGCGCGCGCACACACACACAAAATCTTTGCCGACATGCCAGCAGAGAGACTGAGGTGTGATTGGGGTGTGCCGTTCAGTGCATTTGGTACACTCACAAACATCATGCCATCCATCTCTGGAACTCTTTGTTGTTGCCAACCCAAACTGTGCTCCGTTAGTCACCATCCCCACTTCCTGCCCTTGGCAGCCCTGGCTCCACTTTCTGTGTCAGAATTCAGGTGCTGTTCTCAAGTAATTATCTTTGTGTGGTGGCATCTTTCAGTTAGCACAATGTCCCTGGGCATCTCCATGTTGCACCATGTGTCGCATTTTTCTTTCCTTTCAAGGCTATTCTGTTGTGCGTAGGAACTGTGTTTTCTGTCTCCCTTTCAGCCACCATGCATACTTGGCAGCTTTCTCCCTTTGGCTCTCATAAATTATTCGCCCAGCAGGCAGTGAAGAGCTTTTATTTGTGAAAGAAGCCTCATGTAGCCCAGGCTAGCCTTGAACTTGCTATGTAGCTGAGGATGACTTTGAACTCTTTATTTTCCTGCCTTCATCTCCCAAGGGCTGGGATCACAGGCAGGTGCCTGGCTAGGAATGTGCTTTTAAAAGGAGTGGGCTCTTGGCTAGCTGGGATGAGGGTGTGTGCACGGAAAGGTGGGGGAGGGGATGTGCGCAGCGCTGTCACCAGAACTCACTGGAGATCCGGTGCTTCAGTCGGGCTAATGGGTAGCAGACCCCACTCCTTGGCAGGTAAAGTGTGTCAGGCTGAGCACATTATAGGAAGGGTACACCAGTCCCCACTGATACAGGGTCTCCAGGCCTGGTTTTTATTAGCAGGCTTTTTGGCTGGGTCTGAAAGTAAAAACCTCTAAACCGAGAAAGAGAGAGGCCTTTTAGAGAGGGTTTTGTCAGGTTTGCTTTGGTTCGGTTATACCAAAAGGTGACTGGTCAGTGGCAGCCACGAAGAAGCCAGTCTCCCAGGATAGCAGAGTGCAAAAGAGTCTGACAGCAAGCGAGTGGGGGCAGCCTCACCAGCTGTTGGTTCCTGCTGGGTGTGGTGGAGATGGCATGGAAAGAGGAGGCGTGTTGGCTGGGAGGGAGAGGACACTGAAGCCCAGAGAGGGCAGGCATTTGCCTAAGGTCACATGCTAGCCAGTGGAAGGGCCAAGAGTCATCCCCAGATCAGCTGACCCCGTAGCATATTGGTTCCCACAGTTGCAGAGGAACAACTCACAAGTCACTAGGGTCAGATGTGGCAGGAAAAAGGTCTACCGAGCACATTCTCATCCTGGTCCATATTCAAGAGCTGTGTAGTCCTGGAGAGCCCCTAGCCTCTAAGAGGTCTTAGAACTGTGTGGCTTCATGTGTTCATCACATCTTTGACAGTTTGTCATTACTGTAGACTCAGTGTACAATGGGTTGTTCTAAATCCCAATTGGTGTCTAGTAGTAGTACTAGTTTAAGAGTCTTGGCTCTCATTAAGGGGTGATGGCCTTCAGTGCTGGGTCTGACTTGTGAGGGTACTGAACAAATAGTCTGGGCCTATTTTTAAATTTTTATTTATTTATTTTATGTATGTGGGTGTTTTGTCTATGTGTGCATTTGCATGCCAGAAGAGGGCATTGGATCTCATGGGACTACAGTTACAGATGGTTGTGAGCCACCACATAGGTGCTGGGGAATTGAACTCAGGATCACTCTTTTGCCCACTGAACCATCTCTCCAGCCCCCTCACATTATTTTTTTGGTTTTTACATAAAGTGTGTGTGTGTGTGTGTGTGTGTGTGTGTGCTCATGAGTGCAGGTGCCCATATAGACCAACAGGGGGCATCAGGTCTCCTGGAGTTGGAGTTACAGGTGTGTGAGCTGCTGATGTGGGAACTGGAATTGGATCCTCTGGAAGAGCAGTGTATGAGCTACTGAGCCATCTCTGCAACCCAATAGTTCTGGGTATTGAAGGGGGCTGGGACTGGACTCTGATTGCCCAGAGTCCATTGTCCTGTTTATTGTCTGCTCTGCCCCACATAAGCCCCATGAGCAAAGGGAGCTGAGTCTGCTGAGTTACCTTCTGTCCCCAAGGTCCAGGAGAGTCCCACCATGAGAATGCAGAAAAGCCTAACTGTGTACTGAGAAAGTAACCTCGTCTTCTTTGCCCCCCACCCAGGTCTAGCTGGGAGCTCCCTGATCTCCAGGAGGGCAAAATCGAGGCCATCAGTGACTCGGATGGGGTAAACTATCCCTGGTATGGCAATACCACTGAGACCTGCACCATTGTGGGCCCCACCAAAAGAGACTCCAAGTTCATAATCAGCATGAACGATAATTTTTACCCGAGCGTCACGTGGGCGGTGCCCGTCAGTGAGAGTAATGTGGCCAAACTGACTAACATCTACCGGGACCAGAGCTTCACCACATGGCTGGTGGCCACCAACACCTCGACCAATGACATGATCATCCTGCAGACCCTGCACTGGCGCATGCAGCTCAGCATCGAGGTGAATCCCAACCGGCCCCTGGGCCAGCGTGCCAGGCTTCGAGAGCCCATTGCCCAGGACCAGCCTAAAATCCTGAGCAAAAATGAGCCCATCCCACCCAGCGCCCTGGTGAAGCCCAATGCCAATGATGCTCAGGTCCTCATGTGGCGGCCCAAGTATGGGCAACCGCTGGTGGTGATCCCGCCCAAGCACCGGTAACAGCCAGGTCGCTGCGAGGTGAGACTCACGGAACAATATTACTGCTCAGAAGGAAACCCAGATGCCCTCTCCGGTCATTCAGAAAATACAACCATTCTACCTTCTCCGGGGGCGGATCTCACTGTGCTAATACCCTGCTGGCCTCCTGCCTCTTCCATCTGCTACCCCATGGGGGGAGGGGGGACACTGGCACAAGCAGGTGACCCCCTCTCCCATGTCACCTCTGACCTCCTCTCCCCTCACAATCACTCGTTCTCCGAAACACTGCTCCCCCCTCCTCTATGGGATTCAGAGTCAGGGGAGGAGGCTGACTGTGAGGGGACCCAGCCTGCCCCTCCCGCCTCCCGTCTGTCTGTCTGTCCTTTGCCATGCGGCCTTATGTAGACTTGCTTTGCCAAACTTTTGCCTTAAGCTGAATTTAAAGGAGAAGAGGAAAGGAAGGGTCATGGGCATCTTCCCTGCAGGCCCTCCCTTCTGCTGCAGAGGGAGAGAGGGGCAGGCCCAGAGGGAGGCTCACCTAGCTCCTCCTCCTGGGTGTCTTGGTGAGGGGCAGGAGTGGGGACTCAAGTCTAAAGCCAGCTGTTTTATTATGTTGTTTTGGCAGAATCAAAACTACAGACTCTGCCTAGAGCCCCTTCTCCACCCCAGTAGAACCCCTCCCTAATACCTGCCAGGGGAGCCAGCTGAGCTTAGACCCCTGGCCCCCACTCTCTCCTCAGTAGCCTTAACTTGCCTGGTGGGGGTACTCTGGCCGAAGGAAGGGGCAGGTCAGGCTAGGGAACTTTGACCTTTGCTGTCTCCAGAGCCTGCCCCTAAGTATGTGGCTTTTTCTCTTCCATTTATCTTGGTCCCAAATGCCTGGCAGGGTGGGGTGGGGTGGGGTGGGGTTGGGGACATTGCCACTAAATCTGGACAGCCCCAGCTGTTTTAAGGTAAAGAAGCTGTGCCCTTTCCTCCTGACTTGCATCGTCACACTTGAATCTGGGGTTCCAGTACCCCGGGCTGCCCATCGGCTAGCACACTGTAAAGAAGCCTTGATAGGGGCTTCTGGTTCATTCTCAGGGGAAGCGGCTCCCAGATTCTCTGGGGGTGGGCTGCAGATAGGTAGGCTCTGAGTGCCAGTTGGAGGGTGCTTGGGCCCCTCCCCTCCCCATCGTAGGTGCTCCAGGGGTGGGGAGGTCGGGGAACAGTCAGCTGACCCCGTTTCTTGTTGAAGAAGGAAGGCCAGGTGGGGGCTGCAGAGCCCCATGCTTGAGAGGTAGCTTGTGAAGCTGTTTCAACACATGGTAGCCAGTCTTGGGGGTCTGCCTTCTGGAGCCCTGGAACTTGGCCCTGAGTGATGCCAAGGTTTCTAGAAATGTCTGCTTTGCCTGCTTGAGGGACATTCCTTTAAGCATGCCAGCAACTGCATCACTAGATTCCAACCAGTAATAAGCACAGAAACCCGTCCCAAGAAAAGTAAATGTTTTTGCTGCTGCTGAGCCACCTGTAGAGTTGTGGTGACAGCGTGGGAGGACACGGCTAGATCCCAGCTCTGTCCCTACACTTGTGATGTATTTCCTTTAGGGGTGCTTACTGTCCGGTCATTCTCAGGCCACGAGAGCTGGGGCTGTAGTCACCCAGAGTACAGTGCGCTGAGCAGATGACTCAGTGGGTGCTGGAGAGCCACTTATCATGGCTGCACCTCCCCTGGAACCTTCCCTTTGTGTGTGTGGAGGCTGTCACCTTAGCTGGGAGAGCCATGGGGTCCCAGCCCTGCACTCTAGGACAGTACTGGCCCTTCGGGAAAGGCTCCCTCTGCTCTTAGGATTTCCTTGCCCTGCAGAAAGGAGATGGGCTCTGGCAAGGGTGGAGGCTAGCCCTTGTCCTGAGGGTGGAGGCTAGCCCTTGTCCTGAGCTGGGTGGTCACTAAGGGTGTCTTCCTGGACGTGGGGCTGGGGGATAGGAATGATATTAAGGGTGGCCTGAACTGCTCTAGATAATTCCTCAGATCCCTCCTCACTGCATGCCTGACTTTGCCCACCTGGCTTCTCTGGATACCCTTTGTCTCTACTCTCCTGCTGGCCCCAGACAGGGCCGAGGAGACTCCCAGAGAGGCTTCTCTTGGGCTGGCCTCCTCAGCCCATTGCCTCCTGTTGCAGACGGACCCCAGGCTTTCTGGGGTCCCCATCCTTCTCCTGCTGTCCCTCACACCCATGCCTTCCCAGGCACGGATACTCACCCTTTCCAGCAATAAGCACCAACTGTACTTGGTCATTGAGATACTGTGAACACAGCCCATGTGTGCACTTACCAGCAGGCTCGAGACTCTTGAAGACAATGTCAAATGAACCTTTTTTTTAAAGTTTAAAATAAAAGATATAAAGAGAAATAAAATTAATTTTAAAGCACCTCTGGTTCTGGTGGTGGTGAAGTGGGGTCTCAGGCTCACGGTGGCTGGCCAGGGTGAGCGTATTTGGGGAGATGCTGTGCAGCTGTGGTTCCCGCATTAAGTGCTGGAAGATGCGGTCTCTACCTGCGCTTCCTTACAGTCCTGTTTTTATTGGGGACTGGGTTAGGATTGCAGAAATATTCCTGACAAGTGTCCCTGGACAAGAGTAGACTTGGGGCAGCTTTGGTTTTTCCTCTCTGTCTTTCTCTCTGTGTGTGTCTCTCTGTGTGTGTGTTTGTGTGTGTGTGTGTGGTGTATACGTGCACATAAGCACTCCTGTGTACACACATGTTTCTGTGTGGAGACCAGAGGTCAATGCCTTCTGGGGCTCTCTACCTTAGTTTTGAGACAGTCTTGGTGAATCTGTAACTTACCAGTAGGTTAGATTGGTTGCCCAGTAGGACTTAGTGGCTCCAGTGCTGGGGTCACAGGCTTATACCATTGTGTGTGGCTTTTACCTGGGTTCTGAGAATCAACCTCTAGTCCTTCAGCTTGTGCACTCGACTAAGCCCTCTCCCTAGCCCCAGCTTTATCTATTTATTTTTGATAGAGGTTATCATTATATCCCTGATAGGACTGGAAATGGCCACGGGAAATCCAAACTGGTCTCAAAGTCATAGCAGTCCACCTGCCTCTGCCTCCTGAGTGCTGGGATTAAAGGTGTGTACCACCACACCTAACCCTCCAACTTAATTTTTTTTTTTTTTTTAGAACAAGTAGAACTGTGTATCAAGGGTGACAAGTGTTTATTTAGATCAGGTCCTTATTCAAGTTACTCATGGACCTGCAATTTCCCTATGTAGAAACATACAGGACAAGGTGGGTCGCATGGCTATACACCTGTCCCTTCCCTAGCTAGTGAAGAGGCCAAGTAGGTCTGGTATACCAGGAGGAAGCTGCAACCCCATTGGAAAGTCTGTATGGAAGGTTTGTGGGGTGAGTGCCTGTGTCCTGACAGTGGACGCCTGCTGCAAGGTCACTTGTGTGCACTTGGATGAAACCTTTGTGGAAAGGGGCTCTTGGGCACGGCCTGCCGGCTGGTGTGAATAACAAATTGGACTCTGATGCTAGAGTGAACCCACCATGATGGTCCCCGGGGCTTCCCTATCTTATGGATAAGGAAGCAGGGAGTGTGTGTGGGGGTGTGGGGGTGAGTGAACTGACAGACCTCATGTCTTAGAAGAGGTAGAGCCAAGATTTCACTCCTGGCCTGAGTCACTGACCACTACACGTTCAGCCAGAGCAGATGACTATGGGCCTAACTTGGTGCCAAATAATTGTTAGTTTTTATTAAGAAAGTTCTTAGCTTGTAGCACACCCTCCATCTAGGGTCCTCAGGCACAAACCGCCTTTCTCCCCACCTCACTTCCCATAAAAAGCAGGTTTCCAAGAGGGGCTTTCTTCACCTGCAGGCTCCCCAGGGTGGGTGTGGCCTCTGTAGTGCTATGAGGGACAGGGAACCCCCATTCACCCATCTAGGCCTTTGGCATGGCTTCTCTGGGTTCTTTACATTGTGGCACCAACAGTATGTGAGTATGCTGTATCTGCTCTTGAGGCTGAGACACTAAAGCAGGAAGTTGCATCATGGGTTTCTCTGGGACTCTCCACCCAGATGGCTCATGGGTAGTGCCTGTGTCAGAGTTTGGTTTTGATCGTGGAATTAGCTCCTGAGTATTGTGTGCAAGGGGCTCTGGTTTTTGTGGTTTTGTGTGTGTGCACGTGCCTGTATCCACATTCGTGTATACATCAAAAGAGAAGCTCATCATATCACAAAGGCCAGAACCAAATTGCTCAGGAAGCCAGCTTTGCTGCTCAAGTTTGGGGAGTGGAACATGCAAGGAGTCAAGTGGCATCTGATGGCTCAGTGAAAGCCCAAATTCAGAAGTCCAGGCTAGGCTGAGAGAGAGGAGTCTCAGACAGGTGGGGGCAGGGTCCCCTCCAGGACCCCAGGCCTGGAGCCAAGTGTCTGGAACGGGCGAGCCCACCGCTGAGCATTTCTGGGAAGCAGGTGCTTAGTGACCCTCTGCCTGCCTGCTGCTGTGACAGCTGCCCAGCCTCTGCTCTGCTGCTATCCCAGAAACTCATCAGAGATCAGCCATGAGGCCACAAAGGAAATGCAGCCAGGTCCCAGTGGGACAACTGTTGCTGGGGGCTGCAGTGGAACCCTCAGGCCTGCAGACATTTCTCGAAGCTATGGTGTGTTCTGTGGCTTTGTGTTCCCTGGCCCTCAGTGCCCCCGGGGTCCTCCACAGACACTGGCTCCCATCTGGTTGGGGTCCAGGCCCTGGAGGTGGAAATAGGTCCCAGCACCCCCCCCAAAGTGCCCATTAGGGGATGGTGGAGAGGCAGTGGCAATGTGCTTGCCACATAAGAATAAGGACCTGTGAAAACAAAAGAAAACAAAACAAAAATTAGGGTGGATGGCTCCTGAGGAACCACACTTGAGGTTGACCACTGGCCTCCATGTGTCCTTTGTGTGTGTGTGTGTGTGTGTGTGTACCAAGTCATTCATTATACAACAGCCACAGGGAAGCCCCACAGCCCATAGTCTTTGTAGCCTTGCATGGCCCCAGCGCCCACCCCTTCCTGCCTGTGAATCACAAGAGCCTTTTCCCTTTCTCAGGGAAGAAAGTGGCCCTGAGAAAGTCACCGGGCTGGGAGGCTTCAGAAGGC